GGAAAATGCCATTGTGCCTTGCTGCTTTGAAGATAAGTCCACCAGGAAGGAAAGATTTAAACAGCATCTTCTCCTCATTCTGAGCTCTCGGAGCCCGCTCTCCATAGATGCCCCCTTTCCTCATCAAGAGTTCCCGTGCTTGGGGACAGAAAATGACTTATTTTTTTCTCCTGCTCTTTGTGAAGCTGTTTTGCCAGGTGTGTGTTCCCAAAGCAAGGTCTTGACAGTGAAAGTCACTGCATAATAAGATAGCCGAGGAAATAGCCAACCGTTCTCTCAGTTTGCACTCAGAGTAACACGTGTGTCATAGGACCACGCAGAAGGGCATCATACGCAGACACTTGTGACCCAGGCTGTCCCATAGCTGCAGCTCTAATTTTCCTGAGTCCTGAACATTAAGAATGCTTCTTACTCATCGGGAGGATAAACTTAACAGTCTCTCTCTCTCTCTCTCTCTCTCTCTCTCTCTCTCTCTCTCTCTCTCTCTCTTCATACATTGCTTATTCTATTTTACCGGGTGTGGAAAAAGAACTTTTTGTTTGAGAATAGACTGCCACACACCTGTCACACCGAGCACAAACAAATAATTCATGCTCGCTCATTAAAATGTTTGAAAGATCCTAAAAGCTCGGGGAAATTCTGTACATTACGTTCTTCCTACCTAAAAGGGGGTCTTCAGAGAGCACCCCCCACCACCCCCCGGTTTCTGTGACCTGCGAATGGGGAAAATACTCTTGCTGCTGTGACAGTGACAGCCGGGAAACTGAGGTCTGGCACAGAAAACGTCCCGGAGACTCCGTAAATTAACGAGAAATAGCACCAAGAGTCAAAATCTGGCTTGTGGGTCCCAGAAGAGAGAGCTGGCTGGCTCTGAGGCTTGCCTGCTGTTCTCGGCTAAGTTATCTTCAGCGTTCCCACAGAGCCTCAGCCTGGATGGCGAACAGTGGCTTCGGTGATCCTTCAAGGCCAAGGATGGGACGGGTACGGAGCATCCACGAAGAATCCATCCCATTCATTGCCCTCCTTTGACTAAGTGAGCCTCTCGCCGGATGTACATTTTTTTGTGCCGGTTCACCGCCACCTAGCGGTTATGGGTATGTTAACGTCTGTTTTGCACTAGCTATTAGAAGGGCATTTCTAATAGGATGGAAGTGTGGTCTTTCGACGGAAGGAAAGAAGATTCCAATAAAAGGGACACTCACCTAAGTAAATGTGCATGGAGTAAGGTACCTTGGATTTTTCCCCCCTCTTTTCAGATGACACTCCAGTGAGACGGATAGGTTTGGCTTAGGCCTTGCACGTCCTCTGGCCATAAAACTGTTATGAAGATCAAGCTGTAACAGTGGACTCTTGAGGAAAAAATGAAAACTTCCTCTGAAAATGCTCCCCCAGCCCTTCCTTAGCAATGGACAGGGATGGTCTTTTTTCCAATTATATTTAAAATGCAGATTGCTTAGTGCAATATACATTCTCTTAATGGAATTTAAAAAACCATTCATGTCCTCATTTACATAATTCCTCTCCCGGGTAGAGACATTCTCATTTCATCTTTGGTATCCTTGACAATAATGATGTAATTTATAAATCTGAAATTGGGAAAAGGACATCATAATATTTCTAGTTAAAGACAGAGTTTTAGGCCTTGTACTTTATGTACTTCAGTTGACTATTCCTTGGGTTTCTGGAAGGCCTGAAGTAGGCGAAAACACAGGAATCAGCAGGCACAATTTACTCAGGATGCAGAGAAGGCAAATTGACAAGTATGTAGCAATGGTAAAATACACAATTTTATTTAAGTCAGCCGAGGCAGTGCCTTTGGGGATTGACCCTACGACATTAAAATCCCGCAGGTGCCTACGCAACTTCTCTCCATCCGTCAAGGGCTCTCTAAAACTCAGCAGTCCTTCTCACGCCTTGGACAGCAGGAAATGCTGCCCGCTCTACTCTCCCCCTCTGACGTGCTGAGCTTGGGCCTCTTCATTTTGAACCATGGTGGTGTCTTGCTTCAGTTCCAATCCCAACCCTCCTTCCAGAAGCCATACAATCCTACTAGGCAAGGCTAGTGTGGGATTCACCCCTGTTTTTGGAAAGTTAAGACGGTAAAAACAACCACAACGATTCTCACGCTGCCCACGATGCCTCTCATGCTCTCCTCCATTAGAAACAAGTCGCTGGGCGTGGTGGGAAATGTGACAAGCTTGTCCAGTGATGGATGGAGCACTTACCCAGGACACAGTACCCTGAGTTCCATCCTTAGCACTAGGAAAAAAAAGATTTTGATTTTTTTTTTTTAAAGCAGAACACTGCATGACACACCCCGGAGGTCGTGCTGTGGAATGACAGACACCTCTGGGTGTGGTTTGGGAGTTGCCTAGCTCTGTCTGGAGAAAACTACTTAGAAAACAAAGGCATGACTGCTTCACACCTTTTGGATAATCTTCCCGTACCATCATTTTCTTGACATGGATTTCTTTGGGAGTAAATCAGTAATCAACCTACCACTGACTTCTTCGAAGACAGCAAAAATATTAAAGATCTGGGTCACAAATCAATGAGGGATTCAGTGTAAGTTTTCAGTTGTTTTTATTAAAAAAATAGTGTAGAAATGCCAGCACTCACCAACTCTACAAGAAAAAAAATCATAGAACAAAACTCCCAAAACCTGCTATATACAGGGAAAGGAGTAAAAAAGAGAAAATTGAGTTAACTAAAATCCTAATATCATATTTGCACTTCTGTGGAGTTCCAGTCACCATAAAGTGTCTGAAAATCATTGAAACTGATAAAGTCAGCAATGTACAAGGCAGTTCTAATAGCTCACTGGTTTATTGGAAACCCAGGAAAATCCATGAATGGTGGGGGTAATCGGGTGGAGAACATGATAGCAGGCTTAAATTGTGAAATATTCAGGGCTTTGGGGTTGGCCAGAAGAATCGCAGAAACTAAACCTTCATATTCTGCTTAGCTTTCTTTCTATTTTTCCTTCTTCTCATTCACCCTCGTCCACCTTTGAGACCAACACTACAATGCAGAGTTTCTCACACACAAAAGAGATCCTGCTTCTCTCCCCAACTCGCGTGGTCCACAGACCCTTTGACATCACTGGAGTAGAGAACCCTGCCTACTGTTATTACATAGGATCCCAGGCCAGTGTGAAGTTGTAGTCATTTACTTAATAAACCCACAGGTGTGAGTTCACCAAACCTACGGCAATTACTCTTGTTCATTAATATTTTAATGGTTTTTTTTTTTGTCCGTGCTAGGGATGGCCCTGCTTACATAACTAGGCAATCATCTACAATTGAGCTGCAAGCCACCAATTCATGTACATCGAGACAAGGACCCACAAATATGTTCGAGTGGGCTCAAACCTGCAATCCTCCTGCCTCAGTCTCCCAACCACTAGAACTCCATGTGTGTCCCACTATACCCGGAAACAACCTCCCGTGGCTACCATCTTATTCATTGTAACCAGTAGACGCTTTATTCTTCCAGTTGTGCAGGCGTAGAGACTTTGGACCATTGCTGATCTCTTCCCTTTTCTTAAAAGTCACCTCTGATTTATCAGCCAGCATCATCTCTGCTGGAAAAATCTCTTCCTGGAATCTATCATCAGCCAGCGAAGTCTTCCTGGAATCTCTCCACTGCCTACTAGCCCTGGAGATGCCTGTAAAGAGCCATCACAGCAGGATTCCAGCCGCTCACCCTGCTGTGCTGTGTGAAGCTACAGTGATACCACAGGTGCTGACAGCCTTTGCCCTGCTACATGAGCTCATCTCATCCTATGAGAGACTATTCCTGGAGAGGACCCCCCCATACACACACACCTCTGATGAACCAGAGTTTTTATTGGGGTCACTAACAGTCTGGGTGAGGGGTTACTTACCAGAGAAGGCATGACTCACAAAAAGGCATCCGTACCACCAAAAACTACACCCCGACACCGGGAAACCCCAGGAAAGCTGCAGGCCTGGGGCTCCCTGCACCGCCTGTATGCAGCTCTGTACTCTACATGTGGCTGCTCAGCCTCCTCCTAAAGCCGCTGTTTATTCTCTCTATAAAGCTGGGGAGGAAACTTCTAGACTCTTTCTCGAGATGCTTTGTCTACCCCCAAAGTCTCATGAGCCTACCCCAGCCTTCCTGGAGGAAATGTTTTAACTCAGACAAAACTGCTCCACAGCAGCTATTCACACACACACACACACACACACACACACACACACACACACACACACACTCACACACACATTTCTGCTAGTCTACTTCCAGAGCCTGCTGTCTTCCCTGCCCAGAAGCAAATGTCATGAGGAACATGTCTGTCAAGGTCTACTTCCTGGTTCAGCTGAGCCCTGGGGTAAGTAGGGCCTCTCACAAAACAAGGCCAGTCATTAAATCATGGCCTTCATTGGTGCTGCTTTTATGCTCCAAGTGTTGCTCTTGCTAAGAGTTTTTTTTTTTTCCTGAGGCTAACCAAGCTTCCAACTGATAGCCTTTCAACTGTTGCCCTTCTAAGACACGGCAGCGGCTGACAGTGAAGGATGAGGAGAATGCCTCCGGAAAGTATTTTTCATGTACGCTGTGTTGCAGAGACTTTTCCAGACTCAGGGATGAAGAAGGTTTCACTGGCTCGGGCCCACTTGGTGGGCTGCCATTGACTACTTCCTGTATTCTCACCCTTTAGAAAGGGAATGAAATCGTAGCTTCATGTGGATGAAATAAAACTTCCGATGGTGTTTCAAGATGAGCAAGAAAGATGGCCCTAACCAGAGCCAATGATACTCATTTTGAATGGTATCTGATAGCTGAAAGTGTACTTTAAATTAGTTGAAGCTTTTCATTCATTCCTTTACCGTGTTGGAAAAGTCAGAAGTCTCTGTAATTGTGGTGCTTACGCTCATTACTGGAGAGGTGTTTTTCTTATTTATTCTTTTTTTCAGTGACTCTTTGGTGGGTGGGCAGTCATGGGGCCATGAGAGCTGTGGCCCGCAGTGACAGAGGGATTATGCCACACTGACATTTGGTTGAAGCTTTCTTCAAGCACACTTTTTGTTGGATAGGTGTACACAAACTGGGAAAGCGATTTGGAGAATCATGTCTTGGTGAAATGCAGACTTAGCATGAATAAGATCGTTTGGAAAGCAGCAATGTGAAACTGTGCCTTAACGGTGCATAGACTCTGAAGCAGAGGGTTGCCCATTCCAGGCTCCTGCTGTGGCTTAGTGCAGAGAGCTTGCCCAACAGGCATGACAACCTTAATTGTTTGCCAGAACAACCACAGAAGCAAAGAACAAAAGACCTATCCTAGCCATTGTTGATTCTGTGCAGCAGTAAATGTTTTTAAAGGTTTAGTTTACTTTTACTTTTTATATGTGTGTCAGGTATGTGGTCCTATGCACTAGTGACTGTGGAGACCAGAAGAGGGTATCAGGGGCTGGAGTTACAGGCGGTTGTGAGCCATTCTGCACAGGAGCTAAGAACTGAAGTCATCCTCTCTGCAAGAGCGGTGTGCACTGTCACCTGCCGGGTCAGCTCTCCCATCCTGCAGATAGAGCTATTCTTTGGCCTTCACATCAGATCTCTATTGCTTTACCTTGCCTGATGCATGCTTGCTGGCCAGGGGTATCCAGTGACTTGTTGACCTTCACGGTTGCCTGTGTTCGGTCTTAGGGCAAGTGGCTCTTCCCAGCCAGTTTGAAAATTAACTGTGGCCACCTTTAAGTGCTTTCTAAGACCAACAAAGAATCATCACTCCCCTTTCCTGGTGTAGCCCACAAATTACTGAGGCAATAGTCTTGTTTGAGTTCGTGTATGCTCTTTGTTCTGCTGGTGTTATTGATCAGCCCGTTTTTTTCTCACTCCGATGTGCAAAGCCCCATGGGAGAGGAGAGAGGGCAGTTCATTTGCTGAATGAACCTCCCAGCAGCTGCGTTTAGCGGATTATTCATCCAGACATTTCTCTGCCAGAGTCCAAGCTCTGCCTCAGTAGGAAGAGCATCACGGATGCCAATAATGTGTTTTAGAGAAAATAAAAACCCATGCTTGAGGTTGGCAGCTTGCTTTATCCTGAAGTCTGGACACTCGTGCCCAGTAGAAGGTTTCTGGAACCACTGAAAAAATCAGAACAGATTAACTCTTCTGTTAATCCGGTTAACTCAGAACCCGAGCACTCACACTCTAGGCTCCCAGCCCAGAGACACATGAACCAATGTTATTGGTAAAGTCGTGGGTGGACAGATGGTGTGTCAGAGCTCACCTTTTTTTAAACGTCATTTGTCAAGAGAGAAGACTGATGCTCAGAAGTGGTGTCTCTGAGTCCCAAAGGTCTTCTGGGTCAGAAGAGTTCTGTCTTTCTTAGCAAACCCAGCTCTCCTGTTTATCCTGGTCAGCGTTAACAGCGACAGAAACTGCATTTTGACAAGGAAAGGAATGGTCAGGGCTCCTACTGCCAAGAAGAAGTCAGGTCCTGTACTCAGTCATGGAGCACATTCCTGCCTCCTGTTGCCAGCTTCCAAAGTAATCTCTCACTTCAGAAACATAGCAAATAATCGATGACTGCTGTGGGACGTTTGGGACATTTGGGATGGTCTTCCTCCCTTCCCTTTTCTTTGTGAGCATGTAGGTGTGGTACGCATGCATGTTTGTTCACCTGTGCACATAGGTACATGAAAACAGAAGCCCAAGAAGAGTGTTTGGAGTCTCCCTCGATCACTTTTTTTTTTTTTTTACCTTATTCTTGATGCGGGAACTGCCAATCAAGCCCAGAGCTTACGCACACAGATCGTCTCTCGCTGGTTCACTCTGGACATCTCCTGCTTCTGCCTCCCGCCAACCTGATGCTTGTGGACTTTCAGGGGGTCTGAACCCCGGTCTTCTTGCTTGTGCTTTGAGCACCGAGTCATTCCCCCAGCCCTCTGGGACACTGTCACACTTTATAAGTTTATTCATTATGCATGTGATATTAAAATGTAACTATGTGTCCTATTTTACTTGTTAATCCAGAAGCCCTACTCATCTCCCTTCATTTAGATACTTGAACCACATATCGTCAGCATTTAGGAAGGATTTGGTAACTGTGTAACATCAGCCAAACCAAGAAGTGTTGACAGAAAGGGGAGCACTGGGGTGGTTGGGCATTTAAGCCGACCCTACAGGTCGTCTGGAGCAGAAGTCTCACACTCCTCTTTGATCAGTTACAGTGTACGCCGAGGACTGGCCATATAAATTCACCGGGAGCTGCTTTGTTCCCCATTTCCCTCTTCTACAGAATCGGAAGGACAGACTGCTTGGCAACCCAGACCACCAGTCACAGCAACCCAGACCACCAGTCACAGGTGTCGGCCACGTGACCAGGTTCTACGTTGGGATCACTGGACAAAACCTCCCAGAGAGCATTTATGAGAAAAACGGGGTCTCTTTGCGCACCCACAAGGCTTTCTATCCCTCCGAGTTTTAGACGCAGCGGAAAGTTCCCGAGAGCGTCGGAGAATCATGAACCACAAAGCTAAGAAGACCTTTACGTCCCACCAGAAAGGGAAAGAAGGGAAGAGGCCTCCCTGCTTCTCCTCAGCCTGGACCTTTACCTAGTGTGAGCAGAATGACGGACTCCGACAGTTGCTAGCATGTTCTGACCCCGGCGCCTGTGAGTGCGATGCCCTTCGGAGATGAAGCCTCTGTTTACATAGTAACAGTCTTAGCGTAATTAAAGTCTTAACATGAGGTCCTTTGGGATCCTCCAGGCAGGATCTATGACCAGTGGCCCATGTCCCTGCTAGGGACAGAAAGGAAGTCGGCCCTGAGTTGACAGAGCCTCAGAAAGTGAAGCATAGGGTGGAGCCTTGCAGCCAGCCACAAGCCGAAAGGAAGCAGAGATAGACAGGGCAGAGAGTTTGCCAGAGACCCCGAGAGAGCACTGCGATGCTAACAGCACCGAGTTTGAATTCCTGGCTCCGGAACTGTGTGTGATTTCCATTGTTTGGGAACACCAAGCTTGGGATTCATCCTTGCACTCTCTCTTACACCACCCCGGCTACCTGTCTCCAAGCACACTCACTTCCCTCTTTGTGGTACCCGTGTTGCTCTTTGTTTCACTTGGGCCGGTTTCCAAAGGCTGGAGTTCCTGTCCCAGTCATGTGACAAACACATCGGTTCTGGTCAAGATTGACCTTTAAATATATCATTCCCTCGAAAAGAACGTCAGCCCTGCCGACGGTGGCCAGGTGACATCATCCCACGTGGGACGAAGTCCTGTGTTTCACATTCCATGAGCTTTAGGATGTTTGCACTGTCCCGGGATGCTTTTTCACGAACTCCATTTTCTGTCCTCAAGCAAGCAAGTCTCGATTCACACCACAAAGAGCAGCAGACCTAGGCTGACAGTGTGACAGATCAGGAAAGCTCCCCCCCCGTTAACTCAGCTTCAGCACCCATGCAATTCCATATCAAACTCTCTTTAAACGAAAAGGTTTGACCTCCTCTCTAGGTAAGAATTCAGAGGCTCTGCTTTGCCGCCAGCCAGCCTTATTAGGTGATTTGGGACCAAGAGGGAAGGCAGTCAAGTGGCGTTATCGTTCCAGAAATACCTCCTCCTGCAAAGTTCGCGGTAATTTTGATTATAAATTCACACCAAAGCCCACTTTGGGTGGGTAAATATCCTCCCCTAGAAGTAGATCCTGAAGAAGGAAGAAAACACTGGATCTGGGTTCGTGACATCAAACCTGAGACGTGTGTAATTTACGGAGGCTGAAGTCACTTGTTCATGGTTCTTCACTCACTCAGTTAATGATCTTTAAAGCAAATATACAAAACTTTAGTTATGAAGCACTTTAGTTTGGGGTTTGTATGCGCAAAGATTAGGGTACAGTTTAAGTATTATCATGCTGATGTGAATCAGTAGTGTATCATTTTTTTGTATTTGTTTTTTTGTTGTTGCTTTTGTTCGAGGGTTTCTATGTATTGTTGTGGAGGCTGTCCTGGAACTTGCTCTGTAGACCAGGCTGGCTTGAACTCACAGAGACCTGCCCGCCTCTGCTTCACGAGTGCTGGGATTGAAGATGTGCGCCACCATTGCCCGGCATGCATATCTGTTGTTTTTTCCTCTTACACCTGCGCAATTCTTCCATTGCTTTGACATGAGGAAAAAATTAACATACTGCACATAAGAAATAACACAATTTCATCCTCCCTTGGGAAATAAGCTTCATCCACCCCCTCATTTTGAGATGTCGATGTAGTGTGCTGAAATGCCAAAGACTCCTGTCAGGAGGGAGAGAGCATCAGGCTGAAGGAGCAAGCAGAGTCCTCAGGAGAATGGATACCTCATCGATTCCCGTTTCTTTCTTTGCTCCTTTGGATGGGGCTGGTGCCGGCATCTTGACTGGCTTTGAACCAATGAACACAAAGAGGGACGGCATCGGCATTTCCACCCATGGGCAAGTACCCTTTGAAAGGTCCTCGGGCTCCTGAGCACGGTGTGCAAAACCAAATATTCTTGAGACCCGTAAACTGCCCTGCACAGAACTGTCTGAACCAAGTCCCTCTCGTAGAGAGGCTGCACAGAAACAAGGCTGGAACAGAGTCCAGAGCTTGCCCCAAACCTTAGACTGAATTCAGTTCCACAGCATGGTCAACAGAGAACCAACTGAGAAGAACAGAGCAGGTTAGTAAAGGAGAGGATGGCGGGGATGCGTCACGTGGCTTTTCCCCAACACACAACCTCCAGTATCGTCAGGTTCTGCCTGCCGAACCTTCCCATCACGATTGGTGTGAAAAAGTTTTATCCTTTTGTTTTCCTTTTTTTAAAATTTAAATTAGAAACAAGCTTGTTTTACATGTCAATTCCAGTTCCCTTTCCCTCCCCTCCTCCCCTGCCCCCCACTGGCCCCTTATCCCATCCCCTTTCTGCTCCCCAGGGAGGGTGAGGCCTTCCATGGGGGATCTTCAAAGTCTGTGTCTGTCTGATGGGGAAGACCTGTGTATATGTCAATGAAGCACTGTTGGCCAATAGGGAAGCAAGATAGGTGGGACTAGGAGTCCAGGAGGACTCTGGGTAGGAGAAACACAGGGAGTCACGATGTAGCCCGCCAGAGAAATAAGATGTCTGAACTTTGCTCCGGTAAGAGAAATACTTAGATTAACAATTATGGGGTAAATGCTTAAGTCAGAGCTGGCCAGTAAGAAACAAGAAAGGCCAACAGCTTCATAATTAATACAGCGTCTTGTGTGTTATTTGGGGACTACAACGCGGCAGAGCCCAGGTGACTGGTGGGGAAAAAAACCAAAGCTGCTAGCAAGGAAAAGGCTTCTCTCTACATCTGCCATATCATTTGGAGCAGGACCTAGATCCTCCCCCATGTGTCTAGACTGAGAGAGTAATCCTCTATGTGAAATGGGCCCCCAAAGTACATTTGTGCCCACCTGACACCAACAACTAGCACCAGAAAAACACAAGCTCTTACACCTGGGGTTTCTCCTCTGTGCTGTAAGTCTGTAAATGAGGCTGCTCAGTCCTTATGGCAGACACACACACACACACTCTCTCTCTCTCTCTCTCTCTCTCTCTCTCTCTCTCTCTCTCTCTCTCTCTCTCTCTCTCTCTCTCTCTCTCTCTCTCCTGGCAATAAAGGCAGTAGACTCATTCTCTTAGCACAAATAGCCGGACGTCTTGTCTTTCATTTCCCGATACCTTGGACTTGCTCGTGGAGCGGATCTCACATATCCATTCATTCATTTATGTGTGATCGCATGGTATGTGCACACTACTGTCTGTGCATGCATAGAGGCCAGAAGAGGGGGCCAGACTCCTCAGAGATGGACTTACAGTCCCTTACAGATCACCTGACTTGTTGGTGGGTACTGGGATCTAAACTCCCCTGGGTCGAACAGCAAGTGATCTTAGCGGCCGAGCCCTCTCGATGGCCCTCTATACCACTTCTTAAATGACATAATCAGCTTCCTCCTTCAAAACTCTGTGTATCAATAAAAAAGATCAATGCAATAAGAATTATGTTGTAGAAGACTTTTTAATGTCCCTGAGTGATAACTCCAGTAGAGCATCAGCTGAAAAGACAATTTATAGATTCATTTGGGGAAAAAAAAATAATGTCTATCTCTTGCACCATGATTCTGGAGGAGCAATAAATAGCACTTAATTACTTTTCCTGTATTAAATCATGGTTGGCTGTGCCTGCCAAGGTGAGGGAACATTTAATGCCTGCCATCTATCTATCTATAGCTCCCTTTCCACTCCTGAGATGCCAGGACAGGGAACTCAAATAAATGGTCCCATGAAACAGCACTTACTCAGCAATACCGGTCAGCACTAAAGCGATCCCCCCGGGCTGCCATGGATTCATAAGCACAGAGCTGGCTGGCAGTGTCCAGGCGCCGTCGAGGAAGGTCCTGCTTCCCACGCTGTGGTCTGGGCCAGGCAGCACTCCTCCTCACCGGGTGGCTGTGGGTGAGGGCCTCCTGACACCACAAACTCTTCTGTGTCCTGATCCAAAGCCTGGCTTAGGACTCCCTGCTCTCCAACAGACTCCAACACCGTGGTCCCATCACTGTAGGCAGAGCTCTAAGGGGGCATTTTCAGGGCTCCCCATACCCGAAACCCGCAGCAAGTATGAAACGATCGAATCACGGAAGAAAAGCCAGGCTGTGCCAACGTCCTGCGGAGGACTTATCCTAATTCACACAGACATTTACATATGTGCACAGCGCCCAGTAAGCTGGGGATGCGACCTGGTGATTTGCTTCTTCTTCCGCGTGTGTGGAAATGACGCGGCATTTTACGTAGAGTGCCTGGCTGAAGGCAGGAAGAGGCGTGTCCGCGTAGGCAGCTCTACAAACTGCCTCAGTTTACTACGGGGTAAGTGAAGCCGGCAAAGCCTCATCCTTTAGATGTTTCTACCACGGCAGACACAGTCCTGTTGCATCCTTAAAAGCATTTTAAGGGGCGGTGGTGGCGCACGCCTTTAATCCCAGCACTCGGGAGGCAGAGGCAGGTGGATCTCTGTGAGTTCGAGGCCAGCCTGGTCTACAAAGTGAGTTCCAGGACAGCCTCCAAAGCCACAGAGAAACCTCGTCTCGAAAAACCAAAAAAAAAAAAAAAAGCATTTTAAAAAATAAGTTATAAAAGTTCCTCACCCTTCCGCCTCAACAGAGACACATGACTCTGTGAGGACCCCAGAGACGAGCTGAGAAACTGCCGCGCCCTGGCAAAGGTAAAACCGAGGATTCGTGGCGTTTTGGCATACCTGGCCTTCCCTCTGCCCCCGCATTGCACAGCACAAGCCACGGAAGGTCCTCACTGGGACAGACACCAGGGCGAGCCACACCTCCATGACCTCAGGAAGCACACTTCGGAGATGCAATTTCCCAGATGGGCACCAGGGGGAGCAAGGACTCAGAAGCGGTTTGGCCCAGCGTTGGACCTTCTCTCTGGCTAATGGCACAAGGGTTGTTTCGTAGGTCTTTAAAAAAAAATTCCTCGGGTGCCAAAATCTCAACCAAAGGTCGCAAGGCCGGCAAAGAGCAGGAGGCCACCCACAGCCCACTGAAGGACAGTAAAGCCTCAGAAATTGACCGTAAAATGGGGACCTGTGGGCTCTTGACAAAAGAGTTTGAACTCACAGTCGTGCAAGGATTCTTGAGGCAGGTTACAAAAAACACACAGACAACTGAACACAAGTCACAGGTAAAGCAATAATGCAAACAGAGATAAGACTGTTGCAAATATGAATCAAATTCTAGAACTGAAAAATAAGATAACTGAGCTAAAAATTCACCAGAGTGGTTTGGCAAAAGACTTGAGCATACAATGAATGCATGTGATAAAGGAAATTAAAAGGAAACTTAGAGGTGATAAAAGTGGGGGGGGGTCTGTTGGGCCCCAGCCTGCACGGGGTCTCTGTGAGTTGCTTGTCAGCCAATAACCACAGGTGCATCCTGTTTGCTAGTCCTGGCTTACAGCCCCGGCCTTGCCCCACCAGCATCAACCTCTAACTATGAAAACACGGTCTCTTACCTGGGGTTTCTCCACTGTGCTGTAAGTCTGTATATAAGGCTGCTCCCTCCTTGCAATACACACACACACACACACACACACACACACACACACACACACCACACACGGGCAAACGCGCGCTTTCTCATAGCACAAATGGCCTGACGTCTTGCCTTTCATTGAAATCTCCAGGCTTTCTCCCGATGCATTAGACTTGCTCCAGGCACAGGCAGCACAGGGTAAGTGAATTTGAAGCATTTGAAGCCATAGAGTCAGGGGTGCCAAAACAAACAGAATGAAGAAAGGTGGGCATCTGCAGACATCTGCTGCTTCTCCCCTCACGCGGCCTTCCTCCTGCAGTAAGAGCTTTGTTATTTCAGTCACTGTGACATGAACTACTGGGCCAATTGCGTGCATTATGAAAGTGCAAGAAGAGAGAGTGGGGAGAGAATTTATTTGAAGATACAGTGGCTCCGAATTCCTCAAACAAGAAGGGAGAAATGAACATACAGGGTTTGCTGTATGAAGAAGCTCAGTGGCAGGTTTGGCAGGCCAAGGCCCTGAGTGGGGAGGCTGCAGAGTCTGAGAGACGGAAAGAGGGGGACAGAAAAATATTCACGTTTTAGAAGCCAAAGTCTGCACACGTTCAGTCCAGCTGTCCAGAGTCAGAGACAAGGAGAACGGCAAAAACAAACAAACACAAAGAAAAAAGCCACCCACCAAATACGAGAAAGCTTCCCTAAGATGACTGACAGATTTCCCAGTGAAATCTTACAGGCTAGCAGAAGGCAGAATGATTAAATTCAAAGTGCCCAAAGAAAAAAAAATGGTCAGACAACAATATTGCATTTGTCAAAACTGTCTTTTAACAGCAAAGGGGAAACGGACACTCGCCCAGATGGTCACAGTCTACAGAAGTTCAATAAACTTGTATACAAAACATTAAACAAAGAGAGAGGGGCTGTCTTGTTTGTTTTGTCAACTCGACACAAACCTAGACGTAACTGAGGAGAGAGAATCATAATTGAGAAAATGCCTCCATAAGGTTGGCCTGTAGACAAGCCCAATTTGTGTTTTTCTAATTAGTGATTGATATGGGCGGGCCCAACCCATGACGGGTGAGGCCATCCCTGGGCTGGTGGTCCTAAGCTGTGTAAGAAAGCAGACTGGGCAAGCCAAGGAGAGCAGACCAGTGTACAGCATTCCCCTGTGGCCTCTGCTTCAGATCCTGTCCTGGACTTCCTTCTATAATAGACTGTGATGTGGAAACCTGTGGTGAAATAAACCTCACCAAGTTGTTTTTGCCTTGTGGTATTTCATCACAGCAATAGCGACCCTAACTGAGACAGGTGTGTGAGGTGGACTTTCAGGAAGTGGGGACTTTGAGACAAGGTTGGGCTATAGGAAAAAACCCCGAGGAAGAGGCAGAGCTAAAAGGAATACTTCAGGATGAAAGAGAAGCACAAAGTCATTTATAAAGAGAAACACGTGGGCAGATGTGGTAGCCTGTATGTTAACTTGAGTCTATAGTATTTAAGTAGGAAAAAATTATCTATAAATCTCTTAATGGATATGTAAAATATACAGAGACATTAAAAACATGAAATGCAAAAAAAAAACGAGCACAGAATTTGTATTTGGTTGAAATTAGTTCATTATTTTTTAAAAATTCGGTAGGTAACTGTAATAGTGGTTAATGGAATGTTATAATTTTGTGTCACTTGATGCAGTGTCACACAAAGAAACTGTTTACAGATCATACACACAAGGAAATGAAATACTAATCTAAGCCCAGCAATCAAGTTCCCCAGACGGGAAAACAATGGAATACAAATGAAAGTGTGAAGAGAGGAAAGGAGAGAGAGAAAAAAGATATAAGACAGGAAAAATAGTAAAATGAATAGAAACCTTTCCCAGTCTGTAATTCTTACTTTTTAAATTTTGAAAATTTATTTTATAAGTATGAGTATTTTTCCTGAAGTGAGGGTACACCTGGTGCCCTTAGCAGCACCAATTCTTCTGGAACTGGAGCTTCAGACGGTTGTGAGCCAATACATAGGTTCTGGGAATCAGAGCCGTGTCCTCTGAGACAACAACAAGTGCTCTCAACTGCTGAGCCATCTCTCGTAATTATTTAACGTAAGTAGATTAGCTTCTCCAGTCAAAAGGTGCAGTGTCATTGAATGGATTAAAAACACAGGCTCCAATGATTTGCTGCCTGTCCAGTTTGATTTCTGTTACAGTAAACAAAGCCCTGACCTAAAGGAGCTTATGGGAGGGGAGGGTTTATTTCACCTTACACTTCCAAGTCATGGTCCAACACCAAGGGAGATGAGAGCAGGCAGAAAAACATGGACGGTGCTCCTTACAGCTTGCTGTCTTGCCTGTTCTTTGCTGCATTCTTATACAGCCAAGGCCCACCTGCCTAGGGACGTGCTGCCCACAGTGGCCTGCGCCCACCCACATCAGTCAAGACAGTTCCTCATGGGCGGGGCCACAGGCCAATTTGATCGAGGCTCTTCTTCAGTCGAGGTGCCCCACCCTAGGTAGCTCTAGCTTGTGCCAATTTGACAGCAAAAACCAACGAGCACATGGTCTGGGAGAGTTGCTTTAGAACAACAGATGCTCCTGAAAGTACAAAAATGGAAATTAATAGCCCATATGTGTATCAAACAGATGAGTAAAGCGACTCTATTAACAACCGCTATAATGAGCATTGTAGAATCTGTTTTAAGACACAGAGGACACCATGGAAGCATAAAAAAGGCAGGCTTACAAGGATGGTGCAGTCACCACACACCAGATTTCCAAGTGTCTAGATATACGGTGGGTTCAGAAAGAAACAACAGAGAGTAACACAGTCGTAAGAGGAGATGTCAATGCCCCGTCTTAATAATGACTGGAGCCACGAGAGTAGAAGTCACCAAAGGAGGGAAGGCTCGGGCAACACACTCGGCCAGCTGGGCTTCGCAGACATAGAGTAGCCCATACCGTGAGAGCAGTATTCTTAGCACAGGCCACGCAAGTGACCTCAAAGCAAGTCTTTACAAACCCAGAGATGCTGAAGTCCTGCAGAGTATCCTTTCTGGTCCTTATGGGATGGAATTAGAAGTCAGCAGTGAAGGGATGTGTGGGCGTTAACTTATGTGGATCAGAAACGTCACAGGGGAGTGTGAGAGATACCTCAAGACAATGAAAACAAAGACACAAAATAAACTAGCCTCATCTTTATTTAAAAAACATCCCAAATTAACACCCTAACTACACAAAAGAGACAAAATCAAAACAAAGCACCCCAAAGAAACCGCAACAGAAATGATAGAAATAAAGAGTGAGAAAAACAAGGAATTGAAATCTGTCTTTCTGAGATCGGAACGGTGGGCATACTATTAGGGCTGAATAAGTCCACGGTGCAGACGAGCTAGACTAAGAAGTAGCAGGCAGGACTTCGGTGCCCCACAAGTGAAAGGGACCAGCAGGCGCAGTACTCTGCACGGTGGCACACCGATCTATTAGACGGCTCAGGGATGTGAATGCAGTCTTAGAAATGTACAGCCCTGGGAGCACCAAGACAGAACCCGAATGGGCTAATAACTAACAGAGAATGAAACCTCCCCAGGAAAGCAAGTCTGGGACCGCAGGGCTGCACTCCAGAATTCTCCTAAACATCAGAGATTT